GAAAACACGTCGAGTAGTTACTGTTGGATAACTGACTTGAGGTGTGTTTCTCGTCTATTACTACATATGTTGTATACTAAAGTACCAGTGATATTGTTTAAATGATCACATTTACATTTTATTAGATCACTTGAGTGCATATATATATATATATATTTTATGAAAAACAAGAGTAAGGAATATTAATGTATGCATTTATCGTATACTGTAATCATAACATGACTATGTATGATTTACTGATGTATATTGATATGTCATGTTCACTCATCTTGTATGTGATATTGGGTTGGATTTTTGAATTGGAAAAATATAATTACCGACTAGTTCATCCTTATTGGATGATAATATCCGGTTCCAAATAATTGACTAATCATCTTTATTGGATGATAATATTCAATACCAAATAATTGACTCGTTCATCCTTATCGGATGATAGTGTCCAATACCAAATAATCGACTAGTTCATCCTTATAAAATGATAATATTCAATATCAGTTTGGATAGTTAGGTTGCATTACATTCTTACCATCTTTGAATGAATATGACCATATCTATATTATCTTATCATAAATTGAAATACATGGTCCTAATGTCTTAAATAATTATCGTTAAGGCAATCAATAAATTCGAGATAAAAAGAACCTTACTTGTCCCCTTGTTCCTGCCCAACCCAACACTAATTAGACCAACAATGTTCTAATATCCTTGCCTTAATAAATGAGATAACATTTCCGAATGATCTTCATTCACATTAAATTATTGTTTTATATTAAAATATTTAAACAATGATTGAACTATACTTAAATAATCGTTTTAACTATTAAACTTTTAAAAGTTATAACAGATTTATTAAATTTATAGAACAATTATAAAATATCACTTAAATGTTATAATAATTATATAAGTTTGATAAATTTAATGATCGTTTTGTAAATGTTAAAAAAAATTAAGGTAAAATATACAAAACATCACTCAGATTTCTCCTTACTCCTAATTTAGTCACTAAAATTTATTTATTTTTAATTTAATCACTAAACTTTTGAATTGCTTATGTTTTATTCGTTCGACCATTTATCTATTCAATATTGTGCAGACTTGGTATTTTCCGTTAATTTTTTAGATTAGTCATCACGCCAGCCGTTGTTGTCGACAACTATGAGACCCAAAATTTTATATTTGCCTAGTTTGATCCTTCGATTGCAAATGCATCCTATGTTTCACATAACTCTATAAACCTCAAGTAAACCCTAACCTCAAATCCTAATCAAACCCTAAACATCAAGTCTCAATCAAACCTTAAACCTCATAACCCAAATTTTTGACTATAAATCCCATTTTGGCCCACAACATTGTAGTGGTCGAATGAAGAATTTTAACGGTGAAAAGGTGGACACTAGTGAGGAGAACAATATATCTCAAAATAGTAGTGACCTGACAGTCGAATACTGAGAATGATGAAGGAGAAGGCTGAAAGTTTGGGATAAATTATTTTAGTCCAAGTTTGATTTTTTTATAGAGATCTAAAGCGATGTCGTTTTAGTGTAAATTGCTATGTTGCAATGTTGTTAAGTTTTAAAGTAATCCACCCAAAAAAATTAATGACTTTTTTTTATAAATTTTTTTTAAAAAAAATTAATCATCAAAATGATTATTAAGAGTATAATTTATGATGTATGACTTCATAAACTTTCAAAATTATACAAATGACTTCTACTAATTTTGAGATTATTTGTTAGTGTTCACCTTTAATATAATAAATTAATTTTGCACTATTAAATTTTATTAATAATTAAGCATCGTCATACCATGGTTAGAATTCATTAATCGAAGTGGAATTTTCTAACTCACAAATAGAATCCATGGTTAATTTCATTAATTGCACTGGAATTTTCTAGATTCAAATAAAAGCTTGTGTAAAATATATCAAATGATAAAAAATTTGATATTCTTCTAATAATATTTTGATTTTAAAATTTATAATTATGAGAGGTTCATTTCAATATGATTTTTTTGGTCGAAATTTATAATTATGATTTTTTTGTCATCTGAACTAGACGTTAACATGATGATTGCGATATGATAAAATATGATCTCATAACCGTTTGAGCTATATTTTATGGATCGACTCTCTATATCCATTATGTCGTCAAGCCAATACTTGAAATGTTATGTCATCGAGCCAATGCTTAAAAGGAATGACGTTGTTAATAAAGATTATTAAAATATAATTTTATCTTATCTAGTTAGCATGTTAACGTCCAACTTAAATGTTCGTCATTCTTTTAACAAAAAATGATGAGATTAGAACCTATGAATAGTCAAGTGACTATTTTATAACTTTTAATAATAAGAAGACTCAACAATACAACGCTCTGTAGTCGGAAGACCAATTAGTAACTTTTAATAATTGGAGGACTTAATAAATTAATACTCTATAATCGGGGATCATTTGTGTATTTTACCCTTTATTTTTATGGATAATTTTTTAAAACTTTAATTATTATTATTAATAGACGAGATAAACAACCACAACGTTATATATGTGTTAACATTTTATTGTTGAAATGTGTTCGCAATAAAGGAAATGATGGTTCCGAAAACATTGATTACAACATGTGTACTACAACACATACGGCGGAGACGCCGCTGACAAGTCGCACCGGCGGCAGTGCCGCCTGCCCTTTCGGCTCTTTGCTTCAATCTTAAAACTCTTCCAATTACCTTTAATGCACTCAACTTGCTTTTTCTCTATTTAATTTAATTGATTTAATCTGTTTACAATAATGGCAATGCCCTGTTCTGCCCGTTTAGAATTATTAGATTTTAAAATCACTGTTTATATGTTTAAAACTCGTTATTTTCCGTTAAAATTTAACTTTCATATGAGTTAAAAGTCAACTTACTAAGTGAGATATGATAAAATCATATTTTAATGATGCATACTGACATTGTTGTTACTTTTAAGCACTTGTTTGACAATATAATGTAAACAAAGAATCGATCTACAAAATACAACTCAAACGATTATGTGATTAGATTTTATCATATCTTAGTTAACATGTTTACGTCTAGCTCAGACGACAATCAATTTTTTAACGAAAAAGGATGAGTTTCGAACGTATGAATAATCGAGTGATCATTTTATAACTTTTAATAATCGAGACTCCATATAATTGAAAGATTATTTTATAATTTTTAATAATCAAAAGACTTAGTTTTATATAATTGAAGAATTATTTGTGTACTTTATCTTGATTTAAAATTTGATCCGATGGATCTTTTCAGCCCTACTGGAAGCTAATCTTGTAAACCCGCCCATATTTTGGGCTTTGTTTGAACCTCTAGCCCATTCAGCATGAGTAATTGTATTTTTTTAATTAATAGTAGCAATTAATTTTATTAAATAAAGAGGAGACATTTTAAATTTATAAAAATAATTTATTAAAATTATAGTAAAATAATTATATAATTTGAAATTTTTCATAAAAATGTTGAAGTGCACAAATTAATAACCCAAGAATAAAAAATATCATTGAAAAAATGTATTAAAAATCGAATCAAACAATTAGAATAAATGATAGATACAATCTAAGACCGTCGTCCACGATGAATGATAAATAAAACTAACATAAAAATACATATAATAATAATGACTCGTTGAGGAACTGAAATTACCAAAATTCAATCGCGACCTATTATGAGTGTCTATCAATATCTAGTGCAATGGTCCAAAGCAAAGATAGATCAAGAGGAGAACTAAATAAACATTGTCTAGACTCGAAGATGCGAGTCAAATCCAACCTTAAAAAGAAAAAAAAGAATGAAATAAAAGACGTATTACATGAGTAACTAAAATCATCCACCATTTTCGTACGAAAAGAAAAAGATTAATTAAACAAGAATAATAACATAACTCATGTTAATATTAGTTGATGGAACAATGTCCATGAAGGTCATGGGGCAATTCTATTTGGTGGTTGGTGATAGAATTGACACAATTCTCACTTGGTGGTGTATTGTCCATTCAATTCTAATATTTTGTTCAAATTGCAAGCATTACTTTTAAAACATGCCCTCAAACCATGTCATTACAATGTCCAAATCAACTTTAGAAACAATGAAAGTAACCACACTTGATTGATTTTTATTTCAATTCCAATTCCAATTTTTTCCATGTTTTTTAATATTACTAATTATTTTGTATATATTCGAAAGACTTTCAACCATTTGACAATAAATGCTCAAACCTCCTGTAAATACTGTGCTCAAACCCAATACCTCTAGAGATAACAACTATCCCTTTAACCACTGAAGTTAAAATCAGATTCGGTTGAATCAATTTTTTAGAATGTTTTATTTAATTATTATTGAACTAATGATTCAAGTGATTAAATTAAAAATAGATGATATTATCAATTTAACTACCGATCTAATGTTACAACATTATTGAAAACATTTTATATTAACCCTCTTAGTTTGGTAAGCATTGAGTGAGATTTGGAGGATTGGGACATTTTGCCAAACCCTTCATAACAACCTTTAGAAATGATTACAATTTGGTATTGATTATCTAACCAAATTAGCTAAAACGTTTATGTTCATTTTTAAAATTTTAGGGTTTTTTTCCTTAAAAAAACAAGGATTTCAATTTGGTTCATCAAGGCAAATAGAATTTGTGGACATTTTTTTATTAATCCATGAACATCATTGTATAGATTCATGGGTCTGTACATCTTGATTGAAAAAAGTTAATAAAATCGAAAATGATCAATAATGTCTTGAAACAAACGAAAGAAGAAATATAAATCATGGATCAAATTAAGTTTAAAAAGATATCAATGAGAAAAATTACTTTTGCTTGATATATTCCTTTAATGAATTTGATCATAGAAAATCAATAAACCAAACAATCCAATCTAAATGTAAACATAACTCGAAACAACTCAAACTTGAAGTGAAACTGCAGTAATTCGAATTTAAGATGAATTAAATCCGAGACAGTCTAAACTTGTATTCCCATTAGGACAAAAATAAAAATAAAGGAAATAAAGACTCTAATAATTAAATATCTTTTTAAGTACCTACTCACTACTGAACCCTACAAACTTTCCTACCCTTAAACCTTTTTAAGGACTCTAATAATTCTAAAAATATTGGCCATTTTGCCCCCTCTTTCCCCATCTCCAACCCTATACAAAAATTAAACAATGAACAAAGATGTAAAAATAACAATAACAAAATGAGCAATTAAAGAAAATTTCAAAGAGATAGAGATACGAGGGAGACAATGAGATAGTATGAACCCTAAATATTAGGGTTTCAAAATCCTCCAGACCCTAAACCCTCCATTTGCATGTAATCCGATGTCGGGTTGCTTTTGTTTGGGATCATTTCCGGTGGATCGGTGGTTTCACCAGCATTTCCACTCTTGGTTCTCATCTCCAGCACTCTCTTATGCGAATTCGAGTGGACTGACGGGATAAAAGTCGGACTTGCCGCGGGACGGTACTCCGGGAAGAGCCTTCCAGACTTGTATCGGACGCCGCACGCGTTGCATAGAGTTTTCGGTCCCATCGGCCCTGCCCTCCATTGAGGTGTCTTTGTTATCTCGCAATGCATGCATTTCCTGACAGCTTGTTGTTGTCCCGATTGATTCGGAATGAGGTTGTTGTCTGTAGGCGGTGTCGGGAGTGTCAACTTGATCTTCTTTTTCTTCTTCTGTTCGGGGTTGAGTTGTCGGGGTAATTTGATTAGGAGTGGAGACTCGACGTAGCTCTCAGAGTCGGATGACACCTTGGGGACGAGTATCGGGACGTCGTTACCGTCGCCATTGACGGATGAGGAAGGGGAGATAAGTTCAATGGCTGGACGAGGGTTGAAGGTGGCCGGGCGGGGACGTTTGCTTCGTGCACGTCCATGCTTTCCGATGGCGGAAGCCGGTTCGAGCAACGGTTTGATCTCCCCGGAGCAAGAACTGCTGCTTTCGAGGACCGAAACCGGACTCGAAGTCTGGAATTGATGATCGGATGAGTCCTTGTTGATCGAAGAAGGTTCTTGTTTCTTGATCGTCAAGCTTACTCCACAATTGGAATCTTCAACAAAGTTGGACAACCATTCCAATTGGACAATGTCTTCATACTGTAAAAATCAAATTATTAACAATTAAGTGAGACCCACAAAATATAAGCATGCACCGCTGACCACGTGACGAATCATGTGATCTCCATGACTCAAGCAATAATTATGCCTTTAATTAATGAAAAAAAAAATAACTCTTGGCTTTATTTCAATTTCTTTCCGGCCGACAAACAATAAAAAATGTCAAATGTTGTTTTAGTCCCTATTACTATACTCAAAATTAATTTCATCCTTATACTTTGATTCTAGCATAATTAACTTAAAGTTTATATCGCCTTTAGTCAGATCAATCCCAAGTAATTAAGTTAAAATATCATCTAGTTGAACTAAATAATATAGTATAGGGACCAAAACTGTAATTTGACTCATACAATTAAAAATAACATAAAAATAGAATTTAAGACACTGACCGGAACAGAGAGTTCGGCGGAGAGGTCGGAAGCACTGTTGTTGGAAAAAACCGAGTCAGAACCAGGAAATGACTCGGACTGAGTTGTCCAAATGCTGGGAAAAGTGGTGGCGTTGAGGGCGGAATCGCAGGCGGATACTGCGGCATCGACGTCGTCGTTGGGGAAGTCGAGGAGGTCGTCTATGTGGTCGAAGAAACTGCCGCAATCTATCTCGTCAATGAAGTCCGCCGGTCCAATCATTTTCTCTTTATATTAAAAAAATCCTGAAAAAATAAAATGTATAATTAATAATAATAATTAATTATTGCCAGTATTTTTGCATGTGAATGTCTACCATTTGTTTATTTATTTTTAAATTGAAAATTGAAAATTGGGAAATTTTTTAATTGAATTTCTTTAATTGCCAGCGAAATTTTGGGTTTATTCACAAAAAAGGGGGGAATTAATGATTTCCAAATTTCTTTTTTTTTCCAAACTGAAAAAGTTGGAGGGATTATGAAACAAACCTTGGTTAAGGAGCAAAACTTTTCTGGGGAATTTGAAGAGAAAATATTCCGGGACAAAATGAAAAAAGTTGACAAAACTACATTGGTAGCCGAATACATGGAACAAAAATAGTTCTCAAAGTGAGTTCAATTCCTCTGTTTTCTCAGGTACCAAACAGAATATTAGTGACGAAAACAACACCAATTCCGTTGCCGACACTAAAAAGCTACAAAATTTTCAATTTCCCACCCAAAGAAGAAGAACCCAATGCTCAAAAACTCTCCAAAACATTAAAAATCTCAACTTTTTTCAATTAAAATTTAAAATGGATCAAACAAATTGTTTCAAAAACCCAACCTTCAAAAATAGTGAGTTAAGTGAGTAATAAAAGCATGTACCTTTAAATATTAGAGAGAAAGAGGGAGATTAAAGAGGGAAGGGGAGAAGGGAGGGGGAGTTATAAGGAAGGTAGGTCAGCACTCAGCATCCTTTGCCTTCATTGCTAGCTGTCTTTTACACTCTTCTTCCTGTCTTCATTTTCAAGTCTTCTCTCTCCCCCTTTTGGGTCCCACCACCTCTTCCTTTCTTTTTTCAAATAATAAAAAAATTACTACCCAAGGTTTTGATTTGAAGTGAAAATAATAACAATAATCTTCTTAAGGGAAAAAAAATCTTAATTTTGGATATTTTTTTTAAGAATTGGAGGAAAAAGATGACAACTTTATAATAGTACCATTAGATATTTAATTACGGTGTTGTTAAAAGTAAACTTAATTGTATCAAACATCCTCAAATTACTATCTATATTTTAAATTGATTTTTAACTTTTTGAATATTTTAGTTTCATTCTTAAATTATAAAATTTATTTTAAAATTAGTCTTCATATTTTTTAATGTTCTAAATTCATCTCAAACTGCGACCATTGTTTTAAGACCATAACTTGGGGATGAATTTGGAATGTTTAAGATTTTAGGAATCAATTTAAAACACAAGTCACAATTTAAGGATAAAATTAAAACATTCAAAGAGTTAAGAAATAATTTGAAGTAAAAACCATAATTTAAAAGTATATTATACCACTAACTCTTAAAAATAAATTCACATGAATTTTTTTAAAAAGTTATAGAATCATGGATTTAGTTGTAAGGTGTTAATTTAAGGAAAACATATATTTAATGCATTGTTCTTATTTAAATAAAAAACAATTTATAGAAATTATTTATATCATACATTAATATTTAATGCATTAGTAATAAAATATTTTAATTTCATTTAGTTTTATTTTTATTACATTTTAACTAAGAATATGTCACTTTGTAAACCCTATTTATGTTTGAATATTCTAATAAAATTCTAATATAATATGTATATTCGGTTTAATTTTTTTTAAATACATACATTTATAAATAAAATTATTTAAACTTAAATCATTTAAAAATATTTTTATCGTTAAAATCGATTTATTATGTTCTATTATTGTTATTATTATTTAACTCCCTAAATTTTAAAAAAACAAGGCAAGTCAAAGAAAAAATGAGTATCTCGAGTTATTGAAACGTGGATGCACGCTCATTGAATTTGACTGACCTGGCATTATTTTATTGGGTCAATTGACGTGATAAGAAGAAAGTGCGCGTGGGCTTTGTTCTTAACTTGGATTTAACATTCTCGTGAGGATTAGATTTGCCACCCGTTTCCCTTAAACTACAACTTTTATTTTCTCTTTTGTCACACAACCTAACGCGGTTTTTATAAATAGCCAATAAAATAATTGAATACTTTGTTTATAATTTTTAACTAAAATAATAGTAATTATATTTTTTATAATCCTTACTAATCAATTAATTTAAATTAATGTAAAAATTTATTATGGAAATAAGGATGAACCGAATGGTACTCCTTAAAAAATTTAAATTATCATATAATTTATATATTTTATTTGTATTTTTATTGATTATCTAATTTTATATTCCTGAATTTCTAATTTATTAAAGTTCGTATATTCTGAATTAAAATCTTTCGTATGTATATACATGAGATAACTTTCTCAACCCATAGTTTATATATCTTAGAGTTTTATTCGTATTACATTAAATATATTTCATCATTTTAAATTATATATATACATTTGTTCAATTTTAATCATACTCACGAATTCATCAAGTGCCTCTAGTGATATGAAAAAATATCATTCTTCCTAGAAATTCTAGGTTCGAGCAGTTACGTCCGCATAATGTGTATACATTGTTAATTTAACAATTGATTAAGAATATTTTGAACATATATTACCTTATAATCAATCTGTACTATTAAATATTCAAGTGTTTTGGAATAAGTAACTAATAACGTAATTATAATGCATTTATGTTGATATTTTTGTGACACCAATTACAATAAAAGGAAATTGATTGGGTGATGGCATAGAATTCAATTCCATTAAAATTTGATTTTATTTCAATCTAATATGTAATTTATAATAAGTTTATTTCATGAATTTGAAATAAAAGAGAGTTGAATTAAGTTTTAATTGTTTTAACTACTTAAAAAATATGTTGTCATGTACATGTGGAACCATAAATTCAGACCCATCACGAACTTACTTTTATTTTATGTATATCAATGAGTTGTTTTCAAATATTCCACATTTTTTTGTTTGATAGTATCATTTTTCTACTTGATATGGACCCCTAAAATTTGGAGTGTGATGGGGAAAATTAATTACTATCATTGAATGTCTTCCTTATAAGGTCTACAAGATTTTACCCATGGTAAATTGATTTTTTTTAAAAGGTGAGAGAGTAGGGTTATATTTGATATCTGATCTATTAATCGATTGATTTAAATAAATGGTAGAGATTTATTACGAGGTTGATATTTTCAATCCATATTATTTCACTGTGCCAACATTTTTTTTATAATATTACCCTACAACACCTAATGGAAATCAATTTCTTTCCTTCCCATACCCCCACTCTATGGACGGTTGTTCAAGATTGGAAAGGGCATTGACATCAAACAAAGGATACTAAATTAGGATTAAAATTATAAAAAAAAAATTATATTAAAGAAAAAGTTTATATTAATGAAGCTCACTCACTTCATTTCTCCTTTCATAATTTCATTCTCTTTTAAACAAACTTCAATTTTACTCTGTAAATGAATCCCTTCTAAAATATTCACTCTTTTTTTTCTTGCTTAAAAATATGCTAAAATATTTTTTATAAAAGAAAATCATTTTTAGTTTATTTTTAAAAAAATTGTAACTTTTTGACAACGCATATACAACCTGTAAACGTAACTGCTCGAATTTAGGGCTTATAGAATTGTCAATCAGTTACGTTATTTTATGTTGATGTTGATAATAGTTTACGATTTAAACTCAGCTAATTTTTTTAATCTCAAATATAAAAGATTTTAAAATTTAAATTATAAATATATTAACGATATCGTTTTAACTTTATTTTTAAAATTATGATGTTCTATTAATAATATTAATTAACTCTTTTTAAGAAATATTAGCTTAACTACATAGTTTTTTTTGTTTATTACAATTTGTATTTGAAGGGTGTTTTTCTCATTAATACACAAGTTGTACAAATATGATAATTAATTGTACATTTGTTATGCATTTGTGTCACACAGTTTCATGCAATTAAATGTGAGTATTGCATTGATATAAAACTATGATAAGCATATCATTTATTTCCTTTAAAGTCAAGAGGAAGAAAGGTGTTATGTCTATCGTACTTTCTCTCTCTTTTTATCCAACAAATACCTTATGATAATTAGCAGAGTGTGTTGCATTTGTAAGAGCGCAAGACTCTTAACCTTGCGGTCGTGGGATCGAGTCCCACGGGGGTAATTCATAATTCTGACTGTCGGAGGTCTCCCACGGAAGTTGTTCTCAACCTGGCGTTGGGGCCAACCTACTATCCTACCTCCCCTTACCCCATTACATATGGGAATAGGGTCAGCTAATTTGTTGCATTTGTAACAATGTGATAATTATATTTTTGACATTTTATCTAAATATAATAACAACAAAATTTAAGGATGCATGAAGTTATTAAACTTTTGAAAATCAATTAAGTTTTTATATTTATTTAATCTAATTTAACCCATAGACTGATAGATTAAGTCAATTAAACCTTCAAACAGATAAATTGAATCAATTAAGTCATTTGATCAGTTTTGATTGATAAATCTTAACAATTTTTTCTAAGATATTATTGTCACTTTCTATCATGTGAAAATTCACAAATTTTTTTAAAAGACAAATCTAAGAAATCTATTAAAAATCTAAAAAAAGTACAAAAAAATCATTAAAATTGAAATAATTTTTTAGAAATGTCGTGGTATGACATGTGACATCAACTGCTAATAAGCATTATATTCTAAGATATTATGGTCACTTTCTATCATGTGAAATTCACAAAATTTTTAAAAGAAAAATATAAGAAATTTATTAAAACTATAAACAATTATAAAAATTCATTAAAGTTTTTAATAAATTTGTAGAAATGTCGTATAATAATATCATGATATGACATGTGACATCAACTGATAATAAGTATTATATTTCATTGTCAATGTTGGTTAAATCGGTGAATTGATTAGATTTTAAAATATAATGATTTTATTGGATGTAAACGAGTTTAAGGGCTTCATGTACCTAAAGAACGAGTTTAAGGGCTTCATGTACCTAAAGAAGGCGTAATAATAATAACAACAGGGCTTAAATGTACATTTGGTGTTTGAACTAAGCACATTCTCTTAAGTTGCTACCTAAAGAAGTTTTGCTCTTAAGTTGTACCGAAACTTTAATTTCATCTACTGTGTTGGTACTTTTCTCAATGGCCTGAGTTTTTAATGATACAGAAACATATGATTGTGTCTTACCAATTTCGTCAAGTGTATTTTACCATTGAAATTATTGTATGTTTTCACATAATTAAACGTTAACATCATTAATAAAAGTACCAAAACAATAGATAAAATTAAAGAAAAATGTATCTAATTCAACAAGAAATATATATTTATCTAACAATAATAATAATATGCACTAAAAACCCATAATATTATGCACTAAAAGAACCCACAACCTTTTATTGTGTCAAAAAAATATATGGGCAATGCATCTAAAACCTATGGGAGAAGCACATGGCTTTGTGCCCTACAATAGTGCGCATGCCTTCATTTATAGATTAAATATTATTTCATAATTTTCAAATATATATGGCTAAATATATAACATCTACAACAACTTCATATTATTTACTAACTATTACCTAACACATTGGTGGCAAATC